ACTGTTTATTGGTAATTAAAGGGCAGTTTTGTGCATTTACTTAATATCTAATTATATTCCTATATTTTTTCTTAGTTTGTAAGATTGATTTGGTATGGAACAGCATCTGCAAATCATTCCCCCTGCTGGTATTTTCACCACTTATTTTGCTTCACTGAAACACATGAGTATACTATTGGTCCAGGCACATTAAAATTGTATGCAGTCACTTGCAACTGAAATAATCTTGACAAATACAAAACTAATGTTCTTGGAAAATGCATGGTGGCTAAATTCGTGAGGAACAATTCATACATTATCTCAGCATCTTAGGGATGGACTATGCCTATTTATCTGTAGTACTGTCTTCTGGCCTGTTCAGTATACTTCGTAGCATAACCCTATTCTCTCCCAGGCTGGCAGGTGTTGGAGAGGTTCTTCTCTTCACCTGTGGAAACATGACCTAATGCTCATTCTAAAAGCCTGGGGGACTGTGCCTTCAGGCATGTTAAAGCTAGGTATATCTTTCTGCTCTGGGGGAGACCAAGCAAGGAGATACATGTTGCAGGATCTTAACAAGCTGAGTCATTCAACAGGCTTTTCTCCCTTTTACCCTCTATGAGCACTGTGCCAGTCACCAGGAGGCACTGCCTGTGCTCTTGCCCTCTGCCCTGGGGTGGGGCCCTGCACTTTCCTGAACCCACAGCGAGGTCAGGGTGGCTCACCTAGAGGGTTTTAGGAAGTCAGAATCTGTATATGGTTTTCTGTCACCATCATTTAGGAATGCCTATAAAACATGGAACCATATAGAGTTTCAAATATGTTTGTTTTTTTATATAACATTCATATTTTAAAAATAAAATATTTTATTTTATATATATATTAAAGGATATATATGGATTCAAACTTTAATAGATTGGGCAACTATATACATTTAAAAATATAAACATACAGTAAGCACAGTTCTGAAAGAAGAATTAAGATCACAGAGGGCCCTTTGGTTAAGAGCCTGGGTATAGCACAGGTATAACTGAAAAATTTTCATCCATAGACATATGGAATGTGTTTAAAATTGGCAGAGGTCCCTTGGGAAAGCATTCAGTATTTGTATTGCTGAATGCTTACATAGTCATAGTCTTAAGAGCATCGATTTTGTGAGAAGGAAACATTGATGATAGTGGGATTTTGTATGTATGTTCCTTTATCCTTGTTAGCTGTGTTTGGGAACATGGTGTCAAGTCTCTCTGGCAATAATGGCGATATCAAGAGTCTGGCATCATAGAAGACCTCTAATTCCTCCATGCAGAGGGGTGTCTGTTAATTGCACTTCTGTAGAGGAGCAAACTAATGCTGGCCTTAGTGTTCTGCCATCTCAAGTCTCCTGTACAATTATTTGCTTAAAGTCAATTTTGCTTGATAAACTTATAGCTACCTCTACTTTTGCTTAGTTTTCATTGTGTTGGACATATTGTTGGATTTCTGTTTTTTTAAACATTAATTTTTTGCTACTTCTTATTTTATTTATGTGTTTCCCAAATTTTCCAAAAAGTTCTACCCATGTGAATTTGTAATTCGCTGACTTTTCTGAACATTATTCTGAATTCTTTTTTAGCCATGATCCTGTGTTTCATTTCCTTAGTATCAATGATTGCAACTTTATTAGTTTTTTGGGAGTTATCATGATTCATTTACTTAAATATTTTTTATTTCCCATTGGTGTGTGTGCATTTCAGGTACATCTGCCTGTTCTGATATCCACTGGTTCTCTTGAGGCATAGCTCTTCATTTACTGATTAGTCTATCCTGGGTGTTCTAGGGTTATCCTACATAAAGAACTATCAGCCATGGCTCTTTGCTGCAGTCTAACTGGGCACAAAATAACCTGAGCCACCACAAAAGCATTGTAGATTCAAACAGCAACTCTTTATTCCTGAACTCTCACCGGCACTCTACACGCCCGCCCGTTCTGGGAAAAATACTCTCCATCCCCCAGGGCTCTGCATACCAATACTCTCTGAACCCCTCCAGAACTCCATGGGAACTCAAGGAGGGGATGCCTGAGGCAGCAGGATATGCCCTATTCCCAGCAGGATCCACCATAAACATGGAGCCACCCTAATCCAGCAGGATCCACCCTAAACCACCAGCCATCCTAATCCAGCAGGATCCACCCTAAATCTGGAGCAACCCTAATCCCTGAGCAGGGTTACCTTTCAACCAAAAATGCCATGCGTCATTCTTACTTATCTATAGCTTTCAGCAGCTCTTAGTTTGATCCTCAGCACCACATAAAAATAAAAAATAAAAAATGTATTGTGTCCAACTACAACTAAATATTTTTAAAAAAATTCTTAAAAAAAGAAAAGAAAAAAATCTCAGCCATAAGCAGAAGATGTCAAGAGACCAACAAGTTTCATAGAAAATTAGAATTGAAGCTTTGAGAATAATAGGGAATTTTGAACAAATTCTTGGTCAAGGGAAGCAATAGACCAGTAGATCCCTGCAACTTCATTCCCAGGGAGTGGACTTATATAGTAGTGGTCACAGTCAAGGTGGCCTTCACCCAAGCAAGAATGCATTACGTTTTGTGGATCTAGAATGAAAGATGCCAGGCACGTTCCTGGCACTGGCAATGTTATGGTCTTCCATGACCCATTCCAGTGACACCATAGTGGTTTTGTTTTTCTGTGGTATGCAGTGTAACTGTGCAGGGACTGGCTAGGTTTATTCACCAGGCCAGGGTATGAATGAAGATGGCTGTGGTCATGTTATTCTGGCTCTCTATGCTGTGACTCTAGAGGATGAGCTAGTTACCACAATAGGTGGGCAGGCCTGTTGATCACTCTTCAGTCATGTGAGCCACATGCCTTTGTTCTGACACCAGGGGTGGTAGCTGCTGATCTCCACTCTCTCTTGAAGCAATTATCTGGAC